ACATGTGCCCGGAGCGCGGCTGCAGCCACGGAGAGCCAGGAGGGCCATGCCTGTGCAGGCTGAGGAGTCGAGGGAGGTCCCGGCACTGCAGGGCAGTCGGCACCTGGCTGGGAGCTGGTGCACCTCCTCTCACGTCACACAGAAGGGCAGGGGAGGGGAGAGAGCATCTACTCTCCTCTCTCTCTCTTTCTCTCTCTCTCTCCCTCCTGAAAAGGCAAACCGTGGGACCAGCAGTTAGTATAATGGCTATGTCGCTGGACTCCCACGTAGTCGACCATGGTTCGAGTCCCGGACCCGGTGGCTTAAACTCACACCGAGTGCGTGTGCGTGCCCAAGATCCCGAGAGGAGAATTGAGAAGCGATTGTGGTGTTGCCGTCCTCCCTAGAGGGTGATTTCTCGCTTTCTCTCTCTGTCTCTGTCTCTCTGTCTCTTTGGTGAGCTCACGCGCCTATAGCAAACACTTCTCCAAAGAAAAAAAAGGAAACCATGGTCCGGGTGTTGCTGACCAGAACCACCCCTTCAGAAATAGACTCCGGGTTCATTCCTATCTCAGGGAAGGAGGGACTCCCCCCACTCCAGCCCAGCACTGTGGTCCAGTCACTGCCCCCAGCAGGAGGCCAGGAACCAGCCCAACCACAAGACTGCCCGCTCTCCGCGGCACAGCAGGGGGTCGGGACTGGGCACAGGCTCAGGACCTGGCTGGGACCCTCAGCATGTCCCCTCCACAGCCGATGTTAGCCTGATTACCCATATGTGCACTTTATTGAACCCCACCATAGGCAGACATGTGAGTATAAAAGGGGGGACCACAGCCAGGCACAGGCAGGAGGGGATATTGGGGGGAGGGACTTCCAGCCAGGGGCAGCTATGAGTAACCTCAATAATGACTCTCCTGTGGGTGAGATACAGCAAGAATAATAATGATTACAATAATCATAAAGACGCCGATGACCAGCGCGCAGATGTTCAGGCACTTGGCAGTGGAGGCGAAGGCCTGGGCTCCCGTCATGTCACCCACCATCTTCCTGTCCCTAGACTGGGGGAGACAAGGTGGTCAGGGCACCTGGGGCGTGTCAGGTGGGTACCAAGAGCTGTTACTCAGGCCCCCACCCCTGAGCTGCGCAACCCGGACTGAGGACCTCCCTCTCCTGCCTGCTCACTCGCAGGCCTCGGGGTGCCCCTTCCCTCTGCTGTGGACCCAATACTGGCCGCTCGCCCCTTGTGGGGCAAAGCCCCTGTACAATGTCGGTCATTTGTTTCCCATGCTGGACCTAGGTCCCTTGGAGTCCGAATCTGGAGTGCAAAGGACGTCTAGTTGGCGTGAAGGAGGAAGCCCTGGCCAAGCCCATCCCACACCTGCCCTGGGAGGACTGCCTGAGGGACAGACACAGGGCTCAGTCACCCAGTGCAGGCACTCGCAGGCCACACACACGGGCACTGAGAACCCCAGGGCCATCCGGGAGGCTCCCAGCTCAATCCTGGGGACCCCCAACCCCCAGCTGCACGCACCTTCACGGAGCAGGTGAACGCGATGAAGCCCAGGCAGCAGTAGTTCATGAAGATTGTGTTGAACAGGGACCAGACCACGTGGTCACGCACGGGGGTCTCATTTTTGATGGTGACCACGGTGGACATCCCGTTGGTCGTCGGCCCGTGCTCCTCATTGCTCTGGCCTGAGTTTGGGAGAAGATGCGGAGAGTGAGTCAGTATGAGAGTGTGTGGTGCTATTATATAGACCCTTGGGGGTGGTGTGGGAGGGCTCAGCCCCCCTCCCAGGCCCCCCTCTGGACTCAGAAGTTCTGCTTTCTCAAAAGTTTGTTTCCTGGTGTTTTTGTGTTGGTGAAATGGGTGGGGACTCAGGAGGGTGGAACACGGGGGCAGGTGGGAGGACGTTCCGGGGCCTGGTGTCTCCCCAACCCTGGCCAACAGACGGGAAGCCACACTCTCTGTTGCGGACCTTGTGCTGGTTTTAGATATATGAGTCTCTGACAACTGCTCTTTTTTTAAAAGAATTATTTTATTTAACTTTATTTATTATTATTATCATTATTATTTTCCAGTTGGATCAGAGAGCCACAGAAGAGCAGAATGCGGGGGGTCGGTGGGGAGTGAGAAAGCAAGTTGCCAGGTCCGAGACTCAAACCACCGTTGGCCATGTGTGAGTCCAGTGCCATTAACCACCAATGCCACCTGCTGGCCCTTTAATTGATTTAGTTTTAGAGTTTAATTTATTTTTTAAATAATTTTACTGAACTTAATTTTATTTATTTATTTATTTAAATTTGACCAGAGAGTGAGAGAGAGAGAGAAAGTGAGAAAGCAAGCCAGGTCCAGCACTCAAACCACAGTCGGTCATGTGGGAGTCCGATGCCCTTAACCACCACGCCACCTGCCAGTTCCAGAGATTTATGTTTTGTTTTGTTTTTCTTTTTGCTATAGGGAGTGTACGCTTGCCAGAAAGACAGAGAGAGACAGAGAGACAGAAAGCGAGAAATCACCCCCCAGGGTGATGGCCACGCCACAATCCTTTCTCCTCCATTCTCCTCTTGGGATCTTGTACACACACACACACATGTGCCTGGCATGAGTTTAAGCCACCGGGCCCGGGACTCAAACTGCCGTCAGCTACATGGGAGTTTAGCGACATAGCCATTACACCAACTGCTGGACCTGAGATTAGTTTGTTTTAACACCCATGCCATGAATTCTGAGGGAATGGGTTCCAGAAGCTTAGGCTCCTTCCCTCGGTTCTCATGAAGTGCTTCTCTGGGAGGAGCGGCTGGTGCTTCCATTGAACCCAGGTCCCTTTCTCTTTGACTTCCTCCTCCTCCTGGTCCTTTTCTTTCCCACGTTTTAGGGAGCTGTCCCTGCTCTTAGAGGGCTTCACATGCTCCATGCGCACATTAAATATGCCTCAGACAAGGGACTGATATCCAGAATACACAGGGAACTCAAGTGCCTTATGTGAAAAAAAATGATTAACCCAATTAAAAGATGGGAAAATGAGCTGAACAAAAAGAGCTGAACAAAAATCTCTCTAAGGAAGACATAGGAATACCCAAAAAGTATATGAGGAAATGCTCGACATCCCTCATCATAAGGGAGATGCAGATAAAAACCAGAATGAGATACCACCTAACCCCCGTCAGAATGGCCGAGATTAAGAATATAAAATGTGGAATTCAGTCTCTAGCAAGCAAAGCTAGCGTGGCAGGAGAGTTGAGGCCTTCCTTCAGAAGAGGATTCCTCATGGCTCCTGCAAACTAGTCATTTCAGGGGACAGGAGAAATGAAGATTTTCGACTCATAATTCAGCCTTCAGCAAACAATGCTAGCGTGACTGAACTTCAAGAATTCGAAAGAAACACACCATCCATCAGATGACAAGAAATCACCACAGGACCACAAGAAATACGGGAAAGCAAGAAAATACCTCTCCTCCAAGGGAAAAGAGTAACTCCCCTTCATCCACAGCAGTTCAATGCAAATTATGGAAATGTCTGATAGGGAATTTAGAGTATTCATAATGGCAGAGCTAACAGAGATGGAAGAGAAGAGACAATGAAGTGCTAAAGAGAAAGGAGAAACAAGTTGACGAGTTCCAGGAGGTGAAGAAATTCTTGCAAGATCTAAAAGAGGAATTACACACTTTACAAAAGAGTCAAACGGAACTGTTAGAGATGAAGTCTATAATACAGGATGTAAAAATCTCCCTTGAAAATATTAAAAGCAGACTAGATCATTCAGAAAATAGAATCTCAGATGTAGAAGAGAAAATAGCTGGCCTAGAAAAATCCACCACGAAGACTGAGAAAATGGCCCAAAAATTTGAGAATAATATACGA